AGGCTCGGTTCACACTAGTGCAACTTGTCACTTAAAGTCGTATGATAAGTCGAAACCTAATTATTCAATGGCACCCGTTCCAATCTATGCGTCTAAAGTTGCAGCTTCGTTTAAGAAAAAAGGTTCTCTTACACTACATTGACGTGACATTCTTGTGACTTAAGTGCCATAGAGTGTAAAAGCCACATGAAAGTCAGATGAAAGTTGCACTGCAAAATCACACTGGAAGCCACACGACTTTAGAGTCACACTAGTGTGAACCGAGCCTTAACTTACGGTTCAGTTGGGCTTTAAAGATTATATATAAAGAAATAATGGCATGTCTAGCCTTGCAAAACATACTGTATGTTCAGAACGCTTTCATTTTGAATGGGCTGGCAGTGTACCTGAACGTACAACACAAAAATGGACATCTTTTTTTTTCTAAGGCATGACTTGTGCTTTGTGGTGCCCCACATTGTTTGTGGTTTTACCATGTACTACCATGATGTGTGAATGGTCCTTAAATAAACTAGGCAACTGCTATTTTTTTGTTATCATCAATAGTCTTTATCTGAATTTGAAATACAATTTATATTGTAAAGCGCTGCGCAAACTGTTGGCACTATATAAATCCTGTATAATAATAATAATAATAATACAAGCCAAAATCGAGACAACTGATTTAGCCCAGGTCATTAAACTGTAGCAAGTTAACAAGTTTTTTTTTAACTGTTGTCAGTTCATTCATTGAGCTTAAAGTGGAGTTCCACCTGGAAAAAAAAAAATAACAGTCAGCAGCTACAAAAACTGTACCTGCTGACTTTTAAAATACAGACACTTACCTGTCCCTCGGTCCAGCGGTGTCCTCACCACAGCTGGTTTCACTGGCCGTCTTCTCTCCGTGGCACCAGCATCTTCATTGTGGGCACCCGGCTGTGACAGTTTGCGGCTTCACAGCCGGGTGCCCACAGCACATGAGCAAGTTTCGCTGCACTTTGTGAATGGCCCGTAGTCTTCTGGCACCTTTCAAGTGTCCCAGAAGACTACGTGGAGGGAGGGTAAGAGGACAACTTCCACTTCTGATCGCCTAGGCAGTCGCAGCGGAAACCTGTCAAATTTTAGGTGGAGCTCCGCTTTAAGTTTTTGTTTTTGTTTTTTTTTGTTTACTATTGTTAGTTTACTCATTGAGCTTAAGTTTTTTTTTATTATTTTTTTTTTGCTATTGTTAGTTCATTCATTGAGCTTAATTTTTTTTTTGTTTTTTTTTACTTATGTTAGTTCATTCATTGAGCTTATATTAATTCTTAAGGGGCCACCCAATTTTTGTTTTCCCATCATGTCAACATGTAAGTTGCAATATAATATACCTACAAATGATGCGTAGTGATAATTTAGCTATTATATAATGCATAGATTAGATGATGATATTATGCAGTTTATAAGAATCCACAAACCCTTGGTGTGACATTATCAACCACAAACAAGCTTTCTTCTACAAAATAGTGGGGGGTGATTCAATAAAGGATTTGCACCATAATGATGGCAGTATTGTATTAGGGAATCTACCGGAGCTTGCGAACCTGGGTGAAGATGGAAGCCCTGTCAGCAGTGACCGTGTGCCACTGGAGGGCTTCCTTTAAGGTAAGTCCTTCACAATTTGCTAGTATACGATGCACATTATGACATTACCTTGCAGGGCTTTTCTTTTTTTTTTAACCTGTGGTTTACTACTGCTTTAAATTTAATGAGAAGTGTCCTCTCTGCTGTTGCTGGTGGTGGCTGTTCTCTTCATCTGTCTTCTGTCCCCACTCCTACATACCCCCACACACTCCCACAGCGGTAATCCTCTGATGCTGCAGTGATTAATACAGCTGCTGGACCTATCAAAAGCACTCATCAAGAGTGCAGACTATGCCCACCTTTTAAGCCCCTCTTCTCCATTCATGAAAGCTGTACTATAGCTTTCATCAATGAAAAGTGCTCTATGAATGGAGGAGGCGGACCTTTCTTTTACCCTATCGGTCTCTTCTGTTATAAATCTTTCTCCCTATCTGTCAGTGTTTTTGTACAGTGAGCTGCGCATGCATAGTTCAGCATACATTTACAGTACAGCTCTATACTGTAAGGATGTGACTTCTGTGTGTAAGCTCCAGAGTGCCATCATCCCAGCCTGACCAGTCAAGCAGCCAAAGAGTCCGAATGCAAAAGGAAGACTGGGAGAAGATGGAAGCGTCTATGGCAGCCAAGAACACTGACACTGCAGTGCTAGAGGAGATCACTTTGCAGATTAGTTTGCTATAACATGCTAATATGCTGTGCATACTAGCACATTGGGGCATAAAGCTCCTGGGACTATTTTTATATTTTTTATGTGGCGATTAATTTACACTTTATATAGCACTGCAACTGACCACCAATGCCGGGGGTGAATATTGTGGTCACTGACAGCAAAACTGTGGATTATCATTGCGTTCACTGAAACCTATACTAGGGGTTTTGATTGCGGACACTAAATTCCAATGATGAGGCCAGGGGCGGACTGACAACTCATGGGGCCCCGGGCAATAGGGGATCATGGGGCCCCTATGTCATCGCCCACACCCAAAAAAGCCTATGAAAAAACAATTAAAGGTACCAGGGGCTTCTCATTGGGCCCCCTACTGACCCCGGGCCCTCGGGCAGTGCCCGAGTGCTCGAATAGTCAGTCCGCCCCTGGATGAGGCTTATTTTACTCCCATTTCCTCTTCAGTGGGCATTGCGATACATTGAAAAAAATGCAGATAGACCAATTTGCTTGGCCATTTTGGGTTTATGAAAACCTATTCTTTTTGAATGGGCTGCCTAACTTGAAGCAATGCACCTCAACGCACGGAAATGCGCTGGTATTGTGCGATCCGCACTTCCCTCTGTAATTTTCAAATTGACCCCCGCTGATTTACAGCCCTTACAATATAACTTTTCAAACACTCAATAAAAAGATTAAAAGAGAAAAAAATTAAAAGTTGTGAAAAGCACTTTTATCTGCTGCTAGGCATGACTTTAAAAAGTAAATACCTGATATAATTACCTTACTTTTATACATTACGGCTCAATGCACACTAACATTTTTTTCAAGCTCAAAAAACACTGGATAAGAAATGCTGGTAATAGTGGGGTTTTTTAAGCGTTTAAGTTGCATTCAGGAGCGTTAGCATTTTATTAGTGTTTTTACAGTACATGTAGAGGGGAAAAAAAGCTGTAAGGAGTGTTTCTGTAGCGTTTAGGAGCATATGTGTTTTTTTTTTCTGCTGGAAAAATGCTCCAAAAAAACTATACAAAACAATTTTTTTTCTGCTCCTAGAGGATTAAGCTCAAAAAATGCTAATAGCCTAAAGTAGTGTGCATGGACACATAGGATAACATAATTTTGTTTCTAAATTCTATACAATTTTTTTTCTGCTCCTAGAGGCTGAAGCTCTATAAATGCTAATAGCCTAAAGTAGTGTGCATGGACACACAGGATAACATAATTTAGCTTCTTGGAGCAGAAAAAATATGCTGATGATAGCTTCTAGGAGCTTAAAAAATGCTAGCGTGCATGAAGCCTACAGGTTTAATATAAATGTTCTATTTTAAAATGAATAGGATGATATCGAGTTTACAATGCAAAGATTATGAGCTCAAGTAAAGTCACATTTACATAAGGTAGAATAAAAGTGTTATGTTCAGGCTTGGAATGGCAGTTGTCACAGGTACACAGCCTAGTGCCATTGACCTTGTTGGTGCATTGTAAGGCAGAGCTGGAAACAGCAAACAGGAACAGCCCTCACAGTGAGACACCTAGGCCTCCAGTATTAACCCTTGCATTGCCGGAAATGTGTTCTAGATTGTTACGGCAAGCTCTTTCTGCTCTTTTGTTACTGTAACATAAGTACTGTCATATTTTCGATAGGAAGGCTATTTATTTGAAACAAAAGTACTATTGAAACAACAGATTCCCTGATTCCTGTACTACTAAAACTGTCACCTTTGCCAGCAGAAAAGTTTATTTAATACGATTGATAGTTATTCACAAAGTGAAATTAACTGCAACCCACATAGAGAATTAATTCATTTTCATTATATTAATATGTATTTTTTTTATGACGTATCAGTTTTACCAGCGTTCATTGGCAGTTGTTTCGAAGGCATTAGTGTGCCGTTGTTCTGTTACATTTTTGTCAGTAGTTCACATGAATTAAATATAAGCAGCATTTAAGCATTTCACTTTATAAAATTGTAATACTTTAACTATTGTGTCTCTCCACTTTTATTAGAATTACTTCTGAGAATTACATCTTTGATTACTAAAATTGTACAAAAGGTAATTATTGGACAGCTTAGTACATAACACCATAAAGGCTAGCATGTTGTTTCCTCTACCCAGTTGTATGTTTGCAAGCTGCATTATAGAAAGACCCTTTTTAAGTGACAGTTGTTTCACACTGATATAGATACTTTGGTACTGTATCGGCTTTTGTCATCTTTCTTTTTAGCTGGTTGGAACATGTATCTATGCTCCTTAGACACCCCCCCAGTGTGTACTTACTATTATATATATATATATATATATATATATATATATATTCTCTACTATCTCTGTGATGTTGACTCTCATCTGCTTTACTCTCTATTCTTTCTTTTCTAGCTCTCATTTCTTTATTTCCTCTTACCAGCTCTTCCCTTACTCTCCCTCCCTCTCTCACACATGCACTTTGTGCAGAGTTGGGGGTCCAAAGTTCAGTAACTTGTGAAGCACAGGGATAAATATGAACCTTGGAGGATTTGTTCTGCTCTGATGTAAACAGAGAGAGACAAGGGTCCCTTATCTGCTATGTCTCACTGAAGACTGTCCGGGGGGTGACTACATACAGGTTGTGGCCGCACAGCAAGCATTTTTGGGGGGAGGAGGAGACAGAAGGTGGGTAGAGCATGGGCTCCCGCCTGCTGATCCCTATTCTAACCGCAGGATGGTGAACTGGTAGCAGGTAACAGTGAGGATGGCGTCTCAGCTTAGCTACTTGCAGCAGGAGCTGCTAAGGGCATTGCTAGAGTCAGGTGTCACTAAAGAGACTATTACCAAAGCCTTGAGTGATAGCGATGGTTACCAGTATCCCAGGGATCCCCTGGATGACATAAGTAGTCTGGAAGATGGGGAGCATTGTGTGCAGCTACCCAATGGTCTTACGGAACCCCATGTAACGGAAGATGACAGTTCTGAAGATGGTGGGGACTTCACGCCACCAATTATAAAGGATTTGGAGAGACTAAGCCCAGAGGAGGCTGCCCATCAGAAGGCTGTGGTGGAACGACTGCTGCAGTAAGAACCTTGTACAATGGCCTTTTCTATATACTCTTTATATAACTTTCTGATTTATTCCACATTCGCATTTGTTTGTTTTTTTACTTACCTGTACACTTTTTTCCAATGAGACTTCCCTTGTCCTCCCAATATTCAATGTTCTTCTCATTAAATCACACATATCCAGACTATATGTTACTCCTACACTTATACAAAGTTTGGGGTGGCAAGAATGACAATTATAGCAATGGATTTGTTATCACTAACACACTTATAATATGGTTTATCTATATATGAAGTAAAAGTCATAGTACATAACCAAAGAGTAAGCAAGGTATGCAATACATCCACAGGTTAATAATTGCTGTCTTTAAAATGACATGACTTGAAGAAGAATATCTTTCTTTCTTGTTTGTGGCGACCCTTCTTTCTTTTTTGGCTTTTTACAGTCTCTGTGATGTGGATGTGTAGCTCTTGCTGTCCATATAGAAAAGATAATTATGATTTCTCCATGGTGTTAAATATAAACTGTCCAGATGGCTTTATCCCCAAGTTTTCTTTCTTTGTTGAAGTAGTTCCATCAGGTCCAATGAGATGTGCTCTTCACTTTTCCTCCTCTAACTCATTACAATGTTATACTCTTTCTTTCCTAGTTACTCTGCTCTTGCTCCCCATAGTCTAGTCCCCAGTCTCACTTTCTCCTTATGGTGCAGTGGGTCCTGTTCTGAATCTCCTCAGGGTACTGTGGGTCCTCCTAATCGCTGGGTCTCAGGGGGCCTGAGCTGGTTACTAATTATCCAGGCCCTCAATAATTTGTGCATTTATAAACCAAATGGCCTCTACCTTTTGTGATGATTAACTTTGATGATTAACCATTCTTCTACTGCTACTTTGGACTGAGATTGCTGTGATAGTGCTGCAGCAGACGGCAGAATAAAACTGTTCTGCTTGACTGCTTGTAAGGGAAAAAAACATTGAGCTGGGCAGACACATTTGAACGAATCAGTCATCAATTTGCAAGCTGGTGGCTTTAAAAACGTCACAGCTGGCAGATACCTCTTTCTTGATCCTAAACGAAATCCCCATATTTTCGGTGCTCAAGCAATATGTTGTCAGATGCCCACTCTTACCTCTCTCCATGTCAAGCCTGCACTCCTAGCATCACTCCATTTGTGATCCCATTTCTGTCTGGCACAGCAGAAAAGTGTTGTAGTTCAGCTCCACATCGCCAACAGAAACAGACTGTGCTAAGAGATGGTGTCTGTCCGTTTTGGGTCTACCAAGATAGAAATCTCTTCATATGAACTTTCCATTTAAATTGGTTAAGGCGCTATAAATTATCAACCAGCCTCTTGTTTCCTCTGAGTTGATAACTAACTAACTGGGTTACTTATTGTTCACGGAACAAAAGGGAGGTGAAAACGCCCTTAGAAATGACCTCTAAGAGTGGATAAAAGGGTTTGAGGGGCATCACCTGTGCCCAGAGGGAGATGTGGATGAGCAGATGTGAAAATGGGAAAATGACCATGGGTGGTAAGTTTGACCCACCCAGGACACTGTATCAGCCTTGGCTATTACCTATAATAAATCTGTATCACTCAGCACCTAATTCCCCCTCGTCACTTGAGCCATTAACTTATATTCTAATACAGAGGCCTACTTATGTGCAGTAATGATTCAGACAATCTGTATACTTTGAAGCTAAATGGATCATTAATCTTAACTCTTGGCATACTATACTTGTATTTTGCAAAAGGACCCCAATGATCACAGGTGGCCCCTTGTTCTATCCATATATTCATGTCCCTGGTACACAGCAGTTACTGTTTGCTTGCAGATTGGACTTTGTGCTCAGATAAGCTGGTATCAGTAGCCGAGTGAATCACCATTTGGTGTTGGGGGAGGGTCTGTCCTGTGTATACAGGTGTGTATTTCTACACGATGTGGATTATAGAATCACAGGAATAAATGTAGTCCTAACACAAAACAATAGAAATAAAATAATTACAATTATTTTAATGATATCCATAGAGATCGGGAATTAACCTCATGTGTACATCCCCACTTCCCTTCTTTTTTTTCAATATACAAATACATTGCCAGAATGCAAATGAATACACAAGCCCATAATTATAAACATATAACCCCAATTCCAAAAAAAGAGTTGAGGCACTGTGTACAATCTACATAAAAACAGAATGCAATGTTTTGCAAATCTCATAAATCCATATTTAATCACAACAGAAAACAGAAAACATATCAAGTGTTTAAACTGAGAAAAAGTTCTATTCAAATGAGAAAAAAGGTCATTTTGAAATTGATGGCAGCAACACATCTCAAAAAAGTTGGGACCATGTTTACCACGGTGTAACATCCTATGATATATACTTGTAACAACACTCTGTAAACACTGAGGGGACCAGTTGCTGGAGTTTTGGTAGAGGAATGTTGTCCCATTCTTGCCTGATATAGGATTCTTTTTTTTTTTTAAATTCTTGATTGAACTTTTTATTGTGCATGACAGCGAGACATTAAGCAATTCAATGGTGCAATGCAAATGACATAGGCTGTACAGATACAGCAAAACACCCATACAGATGTATTCTGAGATAGGTACAAACAGTAGCCTTATGGGTACAGCTGTCCTGATATAGGATTGTAATTGCTCAACAAATCCTGGGTCTTCTTTGTCGTATTTTTAATTTCCAGACGTGCCAAATATTTTCAACTGGTGAAAGGTCTGAACTACCGGCAGTCTAGTTATGCACCAGACTCTTCTGCTATGAAGTCATGCTGTTGTCATAGATACAGTATGTCAAATTAATCTGATCACAGAACTGTTTTCCACTGTGCATCTGACCTTTTTAAATGAGCTTTGGCCAGAGAAGACGGTGGCATTTCTGGATCATGTTCAGATATGGCTTCTTCTTTGCGTGATAGAGTTTAACCTTGCATTTTTGGATGGCACGGTGAACTGTGTTCACAGACAGTGATTTTTGGAAGTATTCCTGAGTCCATGCAGTGATGTCCATCACAAAATCATGCCTGTATTCAGTGCAGTGCTGTCTGAGGACCAGAAGATCATGGGCATCCAGTATTGCATTTCGGCCTTGTCCTTTGCACACAGAGATTTCTCCAGATTCTCTTAATCTTTTGATGATATTATATACTGTAGATGATGATATATTTAAAGTCTTCGCGCTTGCATAAAACCTCCTCTCGCTTAAAAAACAACCCCAAAGCATGATGCTGCCACCCACCATGCTTCACTGTGGGTATGATGTTCTTTTGGTGATGTGCAGTGTTGTTTTTGCACCAAACATATCTTTTGGAATTATGGCCATAAAGTTAAGTCTTGTTTTCATCAGACCGTAACACATTTTCCCACATGCTTCTGGGAGACTTCAGATGTGTTTTTGCAAAATTTATCTGGCTTGGATGTTTTTCTTCTTAAGAAAGGCTTCCATCTTGCCACTCACATGTACCACACAGCCAGTACTTGCCAGATATTCCTGCAGCTCCTTTAATGTTGCTGTAGCCCTCTTGGCAGTCTTCCAGACCAGTTTTCTTCTAGTCTGTTCATCCATTTTGGAGGGATGTCCAGTTCTTGGTAATGTCACTGTTGCGCCATATTTTCTCCACTTGATGATGACTATCTTCACTGCGTTCCATGGTATATCTAATGTCTTAGAAATTATTTTGTACCCTTCTCCTGACTGATACCTTTTAATAATGAGATCCCTCTGATGCTTTGGAAGCTCTCCGCGGACCATGGCTTTTGCTGTAGGATGCGACTAAGAAAATGTAGGAAAGACCTACTAGTACGGCTGAACTTTATTTTGGGTTAATCAAAGGCACTTTAAATGATGGCAGGTGTGTACTGATTCCTATTTAAACATGATTTTTAATGTGATTGCCTAATCAGCTACATCCCCAGTTATAAGAGGGTGTGCACACTTATGCAACCACATTATTTTAGTTTTTTATATTTACTACCCCCCCCAACAGATTTGTTTGTTTTTCAATTGAGTTGTACAGTTTATAGGTCACATTAAAGGTGGAAAAAGGTTTTAAATTATTTATCTTTGTCTCGTTTTTTTACACCACAGAAACCTGACATTTTAACAGGGGTGTATAGAATTTTTTTATCCACTGTATATTCCGGACAAGTTGTGAATCATAACTGGGATGCATCAAGTTGTTGATCTACAGTGTCTAGCTTGGGACCAAAAGCGCAGTTAGACCAAACATAGTACTACTGTATGTGAGGTTATACTGCTGGAGGTGAGCAGACATCTGGTGGTGGAATAATTACACTTATATGCTTTGGAGCACTTGGTGGTTACAGAAGGATGGAAGTATTCTAATGAAGATGAATGGACTTATTTTACACATCATTTTGTGATTCACTATATATTGTAGCGCTGGCCTTTTGGAGATGTATTCACCAGCTGGAAGACTTCCTGCATGTTTTTTTGGGACTGTCCGGCAATCTCGCAGTACTGGGGAGCAATTGTCAATATGATTAATGCAGTGTGGATGGCACTTCCTTCACCCCCTAGGTGATGATCTTTTCCCTACTATGGCGAAGAGGACCCTTCTCAGGTTTTTATTTTATGCCAGAAAGACGATTATGTTTACGTTGGAAGAGGTTCTCACCAGTCCAGTACTGGCAACGATTAATGAATTCCACCATACCCTTCTATAAAGATACATATGTTAAGAGGGGCTGCTTCAGGAAATTTGATAGGGTATGGGCGAAATGGATAGAAAGTGCTTCTACTGTTTCAATGCTTGATTCTGTATTACCTTGATTCCTGTTTTTATGTTACCTATAGTCACGCAGCTTTGGATAGAAACCCAACTCTTATTATCACTTTGCAGTGTCCAGGGCATAAGACATGTTGAATGCACCTGAAATATTGGTCATCATCCTTATTCAGTACGTGACACACAGTCTATATTTGTTCTTAATGTTTTGTTTTTTGTTCCTGTATTGGTATTGGTACAGGGTACCT